CAGCCATCTTGTTCTCCGGCTCATGTGTTGCCAAATCACTCAGGCTTTTAAGGCATCTGAGATGTGCAAGCATCTCAGAGCAAGCATATTTCATTCACCAACGGAATTTCCTGCTCCCAAGCATAGAGACCCTGTGGGAAGAAGACAGAAAGAAAAGGATAGAAGAACTAACAAAAGGAGAAAAGATAGTTCTTGGTGGTGATGGCCGATGCGACTCACCAGGACACTCAGCCAAGTACGGGTGCTATACCTTAATGGACCTAAATGGTGGACGAATAGTTGATGTTCAGCTTGTGCAGGTATATTTAAGATGATTGAAAAAAAATTTCCAAGATACTTTTGTAATTAATTCCTATGCAAACACAATTTTTCAGTTGAACATTAATTGTATTATTGCTTATGTTTTTTAGTCAAATGAGGTTGGCTCAAGCAGCGCTATGGAGAAGGAAGGCCTTGTGAAAGCCGTTAACAGTTTAAAAGATGATGGAGTACACGTTGATGTATTAGTGACTGATCGCCATTCGTCGATCAAGAAGTGGGTGAGAGAAAACATGGAGGGAACAGTCCACAAATTTGACATCTGGCATATAGCTAAAGGTATATTGAATTTCTGTCTTAGTAAATAATTAAAAATTTTTCTTTGTCAATGATATTTTTTTTCTATCGTTTAATATGATTATGATATTCTTATAGGAATCAAGAAAAAAATTGACGCTGTGGCAAAACTAGTGTGCGGCAAATCACTCAAGCCATGGATCCGGAGCATGGTCAACCATGTATACTGGTGCGCGACATCAACCAGTTCTGGTGATGGGAAGGTGATGGTGGCGAAGTGGACGTCCATCGGCCGGCATATGCAAAACCAGCATACAGGACATGGAGATCACTTTCCTAACTGTCTCCATGCAGAAATTGAACAACGGCAAAACAGGAAATGGTTAATACCAGGTAAAAATCACCAATTACTACTCTGCTCCATTTTTGTACTAAAAATATAAAAACAGTCATATCATTCTCTCGCAAAAAATTATTTTAAAAATTCACAGGAACTATTGCATGTAACAAGGTTCTGGCGATTGTGAACAATCCCCGTTTATGTAAGGACATTGCTATGATGAGCGAGAAGCACCAGACCTCCAGATTAGAAGCCTTCCACTCCCTCCTAAATCAATTTGCACCAAAGACCTACCACTTCTTGTATCGTCCTCAAAAGTGCAGGTAAATAATTTTTATTAATGTTAGCAATAATAATGTTGAGCTAGATTGTTGTTGATTTGTATTAAGCAGAAACATGATTTATTTCTTATGTAACATTTTATTTGTGCAGGACCTTATTGGCTGTCCTGCATTATAATGAAAATGGAGGTCGCTCACAAGCATCGACAGTGGATGGTGCAAGCCGCTACGCATTAACTTTCCCAAAGTTCAAGAAAGGTGGTGCCGTTGTCAGACCAGTGATGGTTGCAGCAAGTTATGGTAAAAATTTAATCAAACAACAATAAAATCACTTAGTAGAAAACTTTTTTTTTCCTTTTAAATCAAACTTTATTTCTTTCTCATACGTAAACTATTGGATCATTTAATACTTTTTGCAATATGTTGACAAATGTTGGTTGTCATGGTTATTTGATATAGTTGATAAACGACAATAATACTAACATTCTCAGTAGAGAAGTGTATATTTAAAACAGGTTTTTCTTTCATATGGAAACTATTTTGTCATATATTTTTCAGAGTATGTAGACAAACTGTTGGACCTTGTGGTTACTCGCTGTAATGAGGGAGTTATCCAGCCAAGTCAAGTAGATATTCCATCGTTTCTTTGCAGCAGCTTTGAGCGACCTGACAAAGCAGAGGCTATTGCTGCTCACCGCACACGTTTCTTGAAGTAGACTAAAAAGTGATATATATATATATATATAGTATGCAGGAGACCGTTGTAAAAATATGCTTCAGTATTTATTTATAGACTTGGATATTTAAAACCCGCGTAATGCTCGGACCTGAACTTGTTCCTGATTTTGGCAACAACACATGATGGTAAAACCACACGGTTACCTTTGCCCAAGTACCCCTGTGTCCATTTGACAAAGTTCCTGTATCCAGTGTGCCTGTATTTCCTGTAAAATATAAATATAAGAATTGATTGTTATGTTTGGGGATATTATACTGAATGTTTTAAAGTACTGTAATTATATTTAATAGACAGTAGCCCTGTTAGTACTGTAGCCCTGATTTACAGATTACATTGATTGGATTTTTATATTTAAAATGTGTTCGAAATAAAAATTGCTTTACTAATCGTGACTATAACTAGTACTGTGTAACTGTTTATTTCTGCGTGTGGTGCTGTTTACTCATTTATATTGTGTGTAGCTTGCTGTATAAATTAACAATACAGTAGTTGTTTATATGTAGCCTTCAGAAACCACTTACTCATGGGCTGATTTCTTTTCACTGCACATGTACTTCTTTGGAGTGTTCTTCCTAGCCATCTGCAAACTCCATACATCGAGACAGTTTGATTCAAAACCTGGATGGCGAGTAATGCAATTCAGATCACCAGTCACAGTAATATCTCTGTCTCTTGTTGCAACCACATCTGGAACCTCGTGACAGCACAGACATTCTTCGATAGAATTCATTTCCTGACAGTGTCCACATTTGCACCTTGATGATAATATAAACAAAGGATAATGAGCTGCAAATATTTCAATACATACATAACATTGATATGCTTTGAAATGTTTAAATTTAGTGGAAAACGGGGGAGGTCCCCTCCCTTATGTCGTATGATATAAATTATGTTAATGAGTATTCATTGATTAAAAATAACTAACTACTGCAACTGTTTTACCATAAAAATAAATCTATGGTAATTTGTATTGATCATCTATTAAAAATAAATAAAATAGGACTAAAAATCACGGAGGAATTGATAAACCAAAAAAAAAAAAATCAGTAGGCCTATATAAAACTGATTACAGGCTAAAATAGGCTATAAGTCGTCGGCGATATTTGCGATGAGTGCTTGTTTACGATATTTCCAGTCAAGGCATAGGGTGATCATACGCTGGAAATTCCAACAGTAATTATTATATAAACATTCGAAAACGATTTGTGAGTATTATATAGTTCGTATAAACCAACTAAAATAAGAAATTTAACTTTTATTGTAGTCGGTAACATGAACAAGCCAATTGACAACGTGAGGTGATGATCGCCGAATCGGCGCTTCGTTTACTGTCATCGAAGGCCTAGGCCCTAGGCCGTATACATACACCTTAGAAATCGACAGTTTCAGCTTCTTAAATTAAATTGTAATGTAAAATTTTGCATAAGAATCTGTTATGTACAAATTGTATGCTAATGTAGACGAAAACAATGTATATTATTAATGATAACAGTAACCCTTCGTACGCAGTGACGGTAGAGTGTTATGCTAGGCCTAAGTAAGGCGGCCGTCGGCCCTAGTAGAACACAGTAGTGTAGTACTCAATTCGTAAAGTTAATTTACCAGTTAGTGTTGCCTAATCGATGTTGCTTTTCGATCAAATCCTGGTCTTCAGGTGTTTCGTGTTCAAAATCACTTTCTAGTGGCTCAAATTGGTATGGCTCAAACGGCCTAGGCCAATATCCCTCTACAACGGCCGCCAATGTGTGTATATGTATGGAGCGCCGATGACGCATTCACAATTAGTAATACAATACCGCTCGCAATTAATAATACAATACCTACCCGCTCGCTAAATACAAAGCTTTCGAGTCAACTCGGCCCGGCAGGTCAACGGCCCTTTTTTTCATTGTATATATAGGCCTACATACGGTATAAAATTACTTAAAAACTTAAAAAATAACCATTGAAAGAAATTAATAAATTGAAGTCACGTTAAGAATTGTAAATATCATAAAAATATAATTAAACCATTGCTCCAAACCAACCATAATTAAAACATCAAAACTTTCGATAGATCGAAGTTCTCCAATAAAGTATGGTATTCTTTTCTTATTACTATTATATATAAAGCTAGTTTGGATTTTATCTATTATATAATAATTTATATATATATGCTATATATACTTAAATATGTATACATATATAATTTATATAAGAATAGGTCGAAAATTGGTTTCCTCCAC